CTGTTTTGGCAGGAGTCGAGTGAAATAGGTGAACAAGGGGTAGAGCCCATACATAAGATTTTATCCTTAAATAAAACGGTCTCCAGTATTGTGTTCAGAAATCTGAACTAGTCGCGGATACGGCTAATGCGGAAAATCAGGTATAACGTAGTATGACCTTGTTTCGGCAAATTGGTCGTGTTGTTAGGGCAACCTAGTTGAGCGTACCTTGTTCGAGGTCCTCTACTTTAGTAGTTATTATGTTCCTCGCGTTGGACCATGTACTTTGTACATTCCCAGACGTACTGCCAGCACCGTATTCGGCATCTTCAATGAGTCAGTCAGAAGGAGGAGTGATATCACAATCATTCAGCCTAAAGTTGGTCAAGGGATTGACTTCGCTTGTCTCTTTGACGAGTTGTAACTTGGTACTGAGAATGAAAAGATGCACTGGCGATGCCGGCGAACCGTTTGGGAATGTATCAAGTCCACAGTCCAACGCTGGGAATTATCATAACTACTATAGCTAAAGACTTCCGACAAGGTGCTTCCAACTAGATTTTCCTGAGAATACGACCAAGTTGCGAAAACGAGATCAGGACACATTATTTAGTTTGCCTTAAATGGAGTTAATAAAGAGAATCAAAGATTTTGCCTGAAGAGTGCTAAACTTTTTTATGGTAGCTATCGGCTTGTCTGACTTACTGGTGGATTGAGCCCATGGTAATTTGGCTAGATGGCTCATTTTTTGATAGACAGTCTTACTGACCTTAACAATTTCTTGCCTTTTTGACTACGAGCTACTATATTACACTCGTTTTAATCCTGCTATTGTAATCAAATTTATTCCGACCATTAGTATCTTTCAAAGTAGGGCTTACATCGCAAGTAAACCTTGTTTTGGCTCCTGCTTGCACAACCAGATAGCTGACTTTGCACGTGCCTCTCTCCTCGACCGCACTGGCCGAGCAGACACTTTTGTCTTCATTGTGACCATCTAAGTTTCCTGAATTAGTTGGTAGTCCAGGATGAACTGAGGGCTGGTTAGCCAAAGTATGAGTTTCGGCTAATTGTCCAGAAATTAAAGTTAAATTTGGAGGGAGAGAAGCCGATGGTGTCAGGCCAACTGCCATTGAGACAAGAATTCTGGCTGAATCTGCTGCCATTTGTTGGCATGCGATGCATGGGCAGTAGGCAGAGATTGAAGCTCCTAAACCGCTTGGAAAGGCAAAATTCGGCACACCAGTGAATGTCGTCAGACTGGTGGGAGAAGCTGTGACCACCACTGAAGAAGAAGCTAGTTTAGTTTGTGGAAAGGGAAGCACGTGTGTGATACTTGGATCTGTCAGTTGGGCATAGGACAAAGGTGAGTAGGTCAGCCCAAGAGAGGATGCATGTATGAGATACCTTGTCATGTCAGTCAATTTGGGGTTATTAAATGCAATAGTTTTACCATCACTCAGAGTGGTTGGTTTGCTAAATCTGTTAGCAAGGTAGTTAGGTGTAGTCTGCCCAACAGGCACGATCGTTGTCCAGCCGATTGCATTGAGGCCAGAGGAGAGAGGATGCATGGTTTGTTTCTTCAACAACGGCATTACAGACTCGGCGGGTGAAAGTAATTCGCTTGACAACGAATTTACAAAAGGAGAAAAATATCGGCTTGTCAGCTGATCAGATAGCTGATATGGGCCGGTCGTAAACAAATCCGACTGCCTATTGGAGGCTGTGGCTTGCTGGACAGAATATGAATCTGCGAATGCTGGGTCATTATATGTTATGCTGCTGAAACCAGGATAATTGAGGCCTTTAGAGGCTACTGACATAGATTTTTCCAGCTGGTTAGTCTGAAAGCAACTGGCAATCGAAGCACTCATTTCAGTCGGATAAGTTGTTTTTGCGGTCATCTGGGCCGTTGGTGATACAGGTGAGTCAATAAGACTTGTTGGAATAGACGACACTAGATATCCGGCTGTAGTGTCGTGAGCAGAGGAGTTGGATAGTACCGAAGCGATTGATATTGTTGGGCATGAAAAATCAGGCGATAGACCATTTGTAGGTGGACTTGGAAAGGGCAGTGATACTGAAAATGGATCTGCTCTTGAATTGACATGAAGAAGGGGAGCAGGAGAAGAAAATTGCGATGTTAAGACTTTTGCAGAGGTGGAAATGTTATCGATAGTCCTAAAGGGCGGGCCATAATTTGGCGTCGAGGTGACGCCTTTATGAAACATCAAGCATTTGGCCGAAGCTCTTGGCATTGAGCTTGTGCTGCTTAGTTCTGCACGCCAAACCCCCTGAGTTCCAAGGTCTATCGACCTTCTTATATTCAGATTCACTTCCCCAGAGAGGTTCTCACCTTCTACCAAGCTGGTTAGGCAGGTAACACCAAGAGCCGAAAGCAGTTCTCCTGATTCCAAAACTGCATACGTTCCAGAGCACGGTAGGTATTGCGATGCCGAGTTCGGATCGTCTGTCAAAGTTAGGTCATGTTGTCGAACCTGAGCTGGCGGCAAGAAGGCAGAGGCGGTTTGCATAGTAGATGGTTGTAGAAAGTCGCTGCTTGACATTGGCAGGCCAGGAGATGGTGTCCATGAGTGAATTTTGGGATCAAGGATAGCTAAAGGAGGTGAACCCTGGGCTTGAAGTACGCATTGCCGAATGGCCTCAACCAGGTCAGAGGCAATGCCAGCTCTCGCAGATCTGACAAAGACGGGGCGAAGAGTGGCCATACACCACAAGTCGCCAGGCAAGCCAGTCTGGCTACGTCTTGAAATGTCAAGGCAGACAGACAGTTTTTGACATAGCCTGTCAAAATAAGGATCCCAGTGGGTGGGCTTCATTCTGGAATTATTTTTGACAAGTGAGAGATAAAGACTGCAATTAATTGGTGTATACATCATTTTTAAGTACCAAATTGAGTTTTATTATGTCCAAGCAAATGGAGTTATTTTTTATATCAGTATATTTGTCATCTTTTTATCGGTTCAGACGTGATTTCTCCTATTAATTAAAATGATAGCATTCTTATCGACTATGCTGTAAAGCCTTTACTTAGTATAATTAAACTTTTCCCTACACATTATTCGATAAGGCAAATATGTGGCTTTAAAATGCAAGGCTACCTTTGCCCTCAAAATAAATAGAGAATGCTTTGACATAGTGCTTTAATTGCTCTAGCAATAGTGTAAACTCTATGAATAGAAATATGTATACTTCTCGATTTATCCCTAGGGCAGAGTCTAGAATTCACGTTCACTATATAATATTTCTATTTCAGATTGCATAAAAGCACAAAGTTTAAAAATAAGCATACATGTTTCTAACCATTTTTAACGATTTGATAAAATAAGCTTTTT